TATGTGGGGACAGATGCATTCTAGTTCAAATTTGGAAGGCCTTTTGAATATACTTTAGCCACCGAGTATTGCGCAGCACATGCAGAAGTGGGACGACGTATCACTGGGACAGCGTTTTATCGGCATTTCTTATGGCTGCGGCATCCATAGTGGTGAACTGCCAGTTGAAAGTTGGCTGTTATTAGGCTGTGCTTAAGCATTGGCAAACTCGGCCTATGCAGGCTTCGTGATGGCCATAAATGGAAGATTTGCGCGCAACAACATAACGTCTCAAGAAAACGATCATTTATCATTAAAATCTAATCATACTTAATTCGATAGTAGGTCCCCAATCTGTTGATCCCTGATATGTGAAAGAGCGGTCTTCCCAGCCTCATCGACTTTATCAGGACTTGCTCCTCGATCCAGAAGTAGTTGGATGCAATACAAACTAGAGAAACTACTATGAAATCGAGCAGCATATGATAGCGGTGTGATACCACAATTGTCTGCTCTATCAACATCTGCCCCACGACCAAGCAGTAGCTCACAAGCTCGAGCATTATATTCTGCCGCATGTGAGAGTGGCGTCCTACCATTGTTGTCTGCCCTATCAACATCTGCCCCATAACTAAGCAGTAGCTTACAAACTCGAGCATTATGTTCTGCCGTATGTGAGAGTGGCGTCCTACCATTGTTATCTGCCCTATTAACATCTGCCCCACGACTAAGCAGTAGCTCACAAGCTTGAGCATTGCATTCTGCCGCATGTGAGAGTGGTGTCCTACCATTGTTGTCTGCCCTATCAACATCTGCCCCATAGGAAAGCAATAGCGCGGTCAAGTCGGCACCGTCTATGGTACTTGCTGCATATGATAATGGCGTCCTGCCGCTCAGATCAGGTGTACCAACCGCCGCACCCCGGATCAGAAGAGCTTCTGCTATGCTTGGAGGCAAGTTGACACCATGATAAAATAACTCCATAGGTGAATGGCCTCGTGGGGCAACGACTATGTCAGAATACTCCAAGGTAACAGCGTATGACAGAGCTGTGCGGTGACTTTGCGTGTCATAGACATCAGTACAGGCGCCGCTATCTATTAAAAGGCGTGCGTGACTCTCTGCCTTCAACTTGATGGCCAGGAACAGGGCGCTCTGTCCTTGATTATCGATCGAGTTGACGTGAGCACCCCATTCTATGAGCTGCTTCATGATCGAAAGGTTGCTATTCAGCGCAAACATCAATGGTGTTCTTCCAACGTGATCAGGTTTGTCGACTATGTCGCTATGACCAAGCAGTATCTGTACAGTTGATTCCTTAGCCTTACCTGCCTTCAATGACCACGCCAGTGCTGTGCAACCATTGTTGTCAGTTGCGGCAACATCGACCCCATGGCCAATCAATAAATGCACCTTGGCTTCGGACTCGTTTTCGCTGCACACGGCCCAGAAAAGCGCTGTCTGTCCCTGTTTGTCTGTCGCAGCTACACTGGCTCCCCCGGAGATGAGCAACCGCATGCATTCTTCACTACCCCCAGCTGCAGCATACATAAGTGTTGTCATATCGTGGTTGCAAGTATGGTGGACATTAGCGCCTTTTTCGAGTAGAAAAGCTACAGCAGCCGCATTTCCATTTGCAGCGGCAAAAGCAAGCGGCGTCCGCTTGCGCTTATCTATAGCTTCAATGTCGGCCCCGTTCTCGAGCAGAAATCGAAAAGTAGCTAAGACATCATGGCAGTGCTGAATTGCCACTGAAAATAGTGTCTCGCTACCGGGGGCTTGCAGCTCTGGCCATGTGTAGGCATTGCGGGAAGCGATAGCAAACGAGGCCACAATGAGGTCGTCATTCTGCAAAACATAGTAAAGAAGACCCCGTTTCGGGTTAAATGTGAAATTGCGCCCAATGCTGTGCTTTCCTATTTTTGTCACGTCGTACTCATGGAATAAGGTGTGTAAATTTGATGTCGTAGGTTCGTCGCGTGTCTCCCTTTTGAGTAGCCTCCATACTGTTGGTCGGCTACCCATAACCATTGCTGCAAGGACAGGGGCGCCATAGCGCTCGCCTTCAATATCAAAGCAGGACTGGCTTGCTCGGTGGCTCTCGATGAGCCTCCCAAAGCCATGCTCAGCGAGGAGGTATAAAAGACTAGCACCAGCTGTATGTCGACGTACATCTTTGTCCTGGAAGACGTTATTGTGTTGAATCCATTCTGCAAGTTGGAAGGTTTTCAAAAATTCAGTCTGACTGATGTCTCCCTCTTCTGCTGCATCCGCGTGATAAAGAACATTCTGCACGGCATACCTCAGAAAAGGAAACTCAAAGTCTGCCGCAACACAAGCTTCGGAGAGGTGCTGCTTAGAGTCGCTTTCTGGTAAGCCATTCTCTTCCGTATATGATTGCGCATACTTATAGCAGCACCTCTTTAACTGGTCATGGCTCTCTGCACCAATATCTCCGCTCGTATCCAGGATGACTCTGAGGCCTCCGTCTTTGAGGAGAAAATCTCTGACTGACTCGTGAATGAATTGGACTGTTGGATCCTTTTTTGTCCGAATGACTTCAGCAAGACCTTTTGAGGAATTGAGAATGAAGTTACGAATGGTGGCTTCAGTGATTTCGTCTCGGTCCCACTTGCAAGTGGTGCACTCTGTGTGTGTGCGGATCGCAAAATAAAGCTGCTCCGGCTTTAGTGGATTTCGTGCGAAGAGAACCCATTGCATGCACAAAATCATTTCATCCTTGTTGGTATCATCTCGAGTAAGGATATTTCGGAAAAGTTTGTGCAGGTCTTCTGGGATCTCCCGAAGGGCCTGCTTCAAGTCATGTATGCGCCCTTTATCAAACATCCTTTGCAGAATGTCAGACACAAGAACAACCCACATGAAGACACCCGACGCCTTTTCTTTAATTTGGGTACGAATCTCATACGCGAGCTTGCTTTCACCAATCTCCAACTCGCTGTCAAGGTAAGAAATGATGTCTTGCTCATGTCCCTCTTGCCCTTCCAGAACTATCTCAATCTTCTTTGGCATGGTAATGTGAGGATAGTGTCTACTCGCAAAGCAAACCTGGAAACTGACTCCTTCGGCAGCGCTCACGTCTCCCAGACTCTTGAATGATGACACCATAGAGCGAATTTCGGACTCGTCGCATTCATCCAAGGCGTCAATAAAGGCAACTACAGTAGAATCCCCAAGGCCTTCCACAGTTTGCTCGAAAAGTGTTTTTAGTGCCTCAACGCCCCAGTCGTGATTCTCGCTGATCCCTAGGATCAGCCCAGGTTCGAGCACATTATGGAGCCTGGGAAGTTGTTGCAGCATCTGTAGTAACAGTGACCTGTACATGCCAGTGGTGGACTTCTCCAACTGTTCTCCTCGTGCATTGAAGAAGAAAGAGATGATGATTTTGTTCTTCATTGTTCTGCGGGAATTACTCAGAAGGAATTTCATCAAAGTGGACTTTCCTGCCCCGGGCTTTCCCTTGATCCACAAGAAGCCATGATGTTCGTCGACCTTATTGGGATTCAGCCAGTCGAGATACTCCGCTCTCTTGATGATCCATTTGCATGTTTTTCTATGAGCTTTCTTGATATTTTCATGTCGAGCATCGATTTGCTTGAAACTTAACGATTGAAGTAGAGTTTCAAGTGGTGGATGACTGTGGCTACCTTGTTCTGATTGTCGACAATAGTTTAGTCTAGACTCATGGTGCCGAAGGCTCCCCAGTGGAAGTAATGAAAACAAACCTTGGTCGTCGGTGCACTTTCGCTTCTCTCCACGATTCTCATGCGCTTGGTCTCGCAGCGGGTCTGTGGAATATCCATAGTAATTGTGGTTATTTATTGTTTGAGCTGTGTCTCTGCGGGTCAATGACTTATTCCCCAAGTCGACATTATGCCCGGTGACTGTGCTCGGAAATTCCGAACCACCCTGGTGCAATTGCGATGGTCCGGACATCACTGATCACGGATAATTCGTCCTGTATTAATAGGCGACGTCGGAGGTGATGGACGAAGGATAAAGAACTAGAACCGTGGTTTGACATCAGAGAAGAAAAGTTTGATGAGACTGACCGCAACAACCAGTTAAGCCTATCAGCCTGATTTTCAACCCCCCAGCACAGCGGCAGGGAAAAAAAAGATATGATTGGCCAAAACCAAGCTCGATGTGCGCCAGCTGCGTGGTCGGTAGAACACCCTTATAGAGAATTTGATGCACGCAAAAGGGAACTATGGTTTTGTAGGTCCCTCCTACGCTACAAAAACAGAGAAGAAATGCCAATTCTTTCATTAAACTGTTATCACCTATTCTTGAATTACCAGGTTAACGCTTTACAATTATGACAGCCATAAAAAATGGATGGGAGAAATGTGCTGGCAGGCTGCCTACTGCTTACGCTGCCTGATCCTGGTTAGCAGGGATGGCCTCAAGCCTTCTCTCATTGGGTCAAGGCCTGCAGACAAGAAACAATATATGCAGCCACAAAGAATTATCACCAACACCAGAAAATCGAAAAGGTCAAGGCTATTCCAGCAGATGGGGAGGGTTTTGACTGACAAACAGCTTCAAATTATTCCCTCCCTTCGCGATAAACGGAGTCAAGGAGGCATGGATCCGTTCATATAACCACCTTCAACATTCCATGCATGGTCCGAATCAGGCTCGGATATTATAAGCCGATCATGACGCCGCCTTGATAAGACCTGGATGCCTGACGACCCCACACCGCTGAAGGAAGAAGCGGGGGGTAGGCGACAAATGGTACTCAGCCGTTGCCGCGAGCCTACAGCATACTGGACCCCCAACACCCATCGCTCCCAGCCCAGACTCTGAAACCCTCCAGAATTTTCTGTTCTATCTAAGAGACCATAGATTTACATTCTATCTTCAATCAATGGCTTAAGGCTTCTCTGGTTCCACTACGACACCTTTTAATTCTGGCACCAATACCGAGTTGTCCCAAAACGTAGCTGGTTCTTCTTTTCCATACATGCGAGTAGAAAGGGCACATCTTCCTCGTGATGAGCAGCTACCAGCGACCTGCTGGCCGAGAGGACTTTTCAGTGGCCCTTGTTTGCGCCCTATCACTTGAGTTCGATGCTGTTTGTATGGTAGTCGATGAGTTCTGGGATGAGGATGGTGATCAATTCGGCAAGTCTGACGGGGATCATAACATGTATGTCACTGGGCGCATCGACAGACATAACGTTGTGATCGTATTGCTAGGCAAGGGAAAGGTGAACTCAGCAACCGCCGCCACAAGCCTTCGCGTAACTCAGGCCATTCCCTCTTAGCGAGACAACAGGGGTCAAACTACGGCGGGACGATAAAAACGCTTCATCAAGTGAACCAGGGCAATCGGATGCGCGTTTCAACTACCCAGCCACCTCGAGCTTACGAGCAGGGAGGGTCTTCATTTATGTCGAATGTTGTGTCTGGAGCTGGTGTGCAACAGGGGAACTTTATGGAATTCTACTGAATCGTGTGTGAATCTGGTGCGCTGGGTTCAACTACCTTGGATAAAGAGCAAGAAGCTGCTTCTTTAAGACATCCAACATTGATGGTAATCGTCTACCTATGTACCTTGGTATCTATATACAACTACCATTTAACAAAGATATCGGCATGGCTGGTAGTTTGCCAGCATATCATGAGGAGATACGGGGAATTTCGTGCCATTCCCTTTGCGCGGTGCAGCTCATGGATCGGCTTTTTGCTGCTGGCTGATAGCATGCCACGGCCTGAATGAGATGCAGTACAACGATCATACGCTCGGGGCTGTCAGATTCTGAACCAATTTAAATATCGTTGACAATGTCTGACATTTCAATCACGTGGTAAGATTGCCCACAATGCTTCCCCTTTTGAAGGCAGTCGGCTTTAACGGACTTAATGACTTCGCGGCGTTTGTCTCAACTACCTCCGCTGTCAAGTCGAGGGTGTAGGAAAATTACGGTAGGTGTGCTGTTCATTCACATTGCTATATATCAGGCATACAAAATATCTGTCAAAGTTCGGTTGCACGTTAGCCTTCTTGTTGAACCTATTCCCCCCTGTATCATACTCTTGGATATGCTTTGGAACCAACCAACAGAAACAAAACTCTCAATAGTTACTCCGTTCTGAATACATGGCCGAAAAGCAAACAAATATGATCACAAACAAACCGACAACCATGGACCTCGACGAAGAGAAGCAGGCTTCCGAGTCCAGACCACCGTCTATTGACACATCTTCAACTGCCAACGGTATAGAAACATCAGAGATGCGCGACGAAAATGGGAGCAGAGATGAAGAAAAATCATCTATCGAGGCAGAAAAACCTGTGGAATACCCAAAAGGATTAGAAATGTTCTTCATCATGCTTGCGCTCGTGCTTAGCATCACTCTCTGCTCTCTCGACCAGGTAAGCTCAACTACTCTTGACCATCCTTGTCCCCATCTTCAACGCTGATATCAGTCAAGACCATCGTCGCAACCGCCGTCCCCAAAATCACCGACCAGTTCGGCCGCCTGCAAGACATCTCGTGGTACGGCTCAGCATACTTCCTCACCCTCGGAGCATTCCAATCACTCTGGGGCAAAATCTACAAGTTCTTCCCACTGAAAACAAGCTTCTTGGCGTCTATCTTCATCTTCGAGCTCGGAAGCTTGATCAGCGCTGTAGCTCGTGACTCGATGACTGTGATTGTCGGGCGTGCTATCGCTGGCCTAGGCGCATCAGGTGTTGCCCCTGGAGTGTACACGATTCCTGCTTTTATTGCCGCCCCCGAGAAGAGGGCTACATACACGGGCTTCATCGGGTTGTCGTATGGTATTGCTGCTGTTGCCGGACCGCTCATTGGTGGGGGACTTACAGATGGGGCGAGCTGGAGATGGTAAGTAGATTCTCCAGATGATGTTGTTACAAACAACCACAGTCCTTTCATTCATACACAGGTGAACTAATTTACTTTCTTTAGGTGCTTCTATATCAATCTTCCCATCGGCGGTCTGGCTATTCTCGTCATCCTTCTCACCTTCAAGACTCCAGCGGGGGTCAAGGTTGTCGAAGCTACACTCAAGGAAAAGCTTTTGCAGATGGACTTCATAGGCACCGCGCTTGTGATGGGTGCGTCTTTGTCTTTGCTTCTGGCCCTTCAATATGGTGGTGTCACCCATGCTTGGAACTCTAGTGTTGTCGTCGGCTTGCTCGTCGGCTTTGTTCTCATGATTATCACACTGATAGCAGTAGAATTCTGGCTAGGGGAGCGTGCAATGCTGACGCCACGGCTAATCCGTCAAAGAACTGTGTGGGTTAACGCTGTATGGAGCTTCTTCTTCGCTGGATCATACTTCATCACTCTTTACTATCTGCCTATCTACTTCCAGAGCATCGATAACCAGAGTCCTATCGGTTCGGGCGTACGAAACATTCCTCTCATCGCGCTATTCAGCGTCGCAACATTTGCATCTGGTAAAGCCATCACAAAGACTGGCACTGCGGCTCCATATCTGGTGGTTAGCTCGATAATCGTCACCATTGCGTCCGGTCTGTTCTATACTCTCGATATTGGGACGTCGACTGGCAAATGGGTTGGATATCAGATCCTGGCGGGTTTCGGGTATGGCGTTGGTCTCCAGGTTCCTGTTGTCATTTCGCAGGCGTTCGCTGCACCCAGTGACATGGCTCCCGTGACTTCGATAATTATATGTGAGTTTCCTTTCGCTTTGTCATCCAACTGGCTGACATTTAATTTCACCATTATAGTTTCTCGGACCATTGGTGGTACATTCTTAATCACCGCTGCACAATCTGGCTTCATCAACCAAATCATTCACAAGTTGTCCAGCACTGCGCCCACCATTGATCCCGACTTGGTTACAGAAACTGGTGCGACTACTCTGCGACAGAATTTCTCCGGCGCTGAGCTGAATGGTATACTACATGCTTATGTTTGGGGAATCAAAGTTGCTTTTGCGATCACGATTGCGGCTTGTGGCATCACTGTCATTACGAGCTTGTGCACCAAGTGGACGAATATCCACCTCAAGAAACAGATCTCATAAATATTCCAAAATCATGTACGATACAGGGATCTTTACACTTTTCTTTGATGATTCAACGGGGTTCTTTCCTTGCCTGGCTACAGATCTAAGGGGTGATAGCGGGAATTAACGGTGTTAGGACTTGCTACACTATAAATGGACATTGATCGTTTTGAGTATCGCATCCAGTGGTTAATGAAACGTCCTAGACAGCAGGGATATAAAGCACGACAAACACTGATTATATGCCCAATATGCACATCCACTAATTGACACCAACATGCATTGCTCTGGCAAGCTTTCATATTTACTTGATCCGGGATAACCTCCGTTTTGGCTTGCCCCAGTCATGGTCAAATTCCTCAAATGAAATCGGAGATGACTTCCTGAACTCCCAATGGTCACCACCTTGCCGAAAGGCCTCTTCCCAGTAGTCTCGGGTTTCTTTCTGATCATCCAGAGAACGTCCGTAAAATACACGCAGCATTTTGGGGGCTAATCTCGTGATATTCTCAGTCCGATCCTTCCAGTCATTATCCAACCCCATCTCGGTAACAACTTCTAGTCTGTGGCCAGCCCAGGGGCCGCCCCAGATTGGCCAGAAGTCGGAACACATTGGTCCGGAAGGCGGGTCTAGAACCGTGTCTGAGAGATCTTGATCAGTGAAACCTTTGAAGGTTTCAAGTTGTTCCCAAGACCAAGCCTTACTTCTGTTCCTTTTGTAGTCAACTCTCCAACCGATGAGCCATAAAAGAAGAATATCAAGTGTGAGCCATCGGCGGCCTGGCAACGAAACGGTGGCCTCGTCATCAGAGGTGATTACGGCTTCCATTCTGATGTACTCTCGATCTGTCAGGTTGCGTAAAAGCCATTTTCTTCCAGGTGCAAGTCTGATACATGGCAAACAAGCCTTCATGATCAAGCGGAGGCTTTCGGGGATAGCAGCCCCTTCAAACTGCTTGAGGAAAGCCTCTTCGTACGTACAGTCGTAGGGGAATGGTACTTTCTCGTAGCTGTCCACAGATTTGTCGAACCAGATCGATGCACGAGCGGTCGATATCTTATATCGACGGCCAGTCCGCTTGGATTCTCTCTCCACATCATCAGCCGACGATTCTGGTAATATGTGCTGTAGCGCTTTCGGAAGAACTCGAAGCCGCCTGGTAGTGCAAATAATTGGAGTGTTGACCCAGGAATATTGGTTCTTCCACCGAGTGTAAATACCCTTTATGCACTCGATGGCATGAAACCAGAGCTTTTGCGAGCACAAGGCCAAAGCCATGAATTCTTCTGCTTCGAGGAGTCCAAATATTGCTTCCAGAAGCTCGACAGGAAGCATCTCGAGGCGCGTTTGACCCTGCAAAGGCTGCAACGTCGAGTGCGCCGATTGCAAAATTATCCCCTCATCCGACCCGATCTTGACACCTTCCATGGAGTTGCACAGTAACTTGAAAGCGTCGAAACTCAGATGATGTGTGCAGAAGTCTGGTGGGTCCATATAGCCGTCCAAATCCAGAACCGGCATTCTCATCCGCTGTTTCTTTTCAGGGGCGATGAGCATCCAGCAGTACTCACGGCTTGTGGCCCAGATGTTTCCAGCATCATAAGGCTCTTCTCCGTAAAGTCGGCGTCTCATTTTCAAGTTGGTGTAAGGGAGAGGAGAGAGGTTGGATTGCAAAAGTGCTGCTGCCTGCCGCTTATGTTGTTATATATTTGTGGGTACAAGCACAAACATATGGACACATGCTTACTACGCTAAATCCACCAATCGGATGCCATGTCCTCAAGGCAGTAATACAGCTGGGATAGATGAAGTGAAGCCTCAATGGAAGACAGAGTGGATAGTTATTCCCTTGACGTACATATACGTCCTTCATTCCTTTTCTTTGGTTATTCCAAGAAACCCTGCCATGAACCCTGGTACGTCTAAAATGTGAAGAAGTTTCACCATTGATCACGAAGCTATACTAGTCCATTGAGGTTAGGTAAATATTGTTCTGTTAAACAAGATTTGTGCCTGACGGACTGCGTTGTATGCAGCTACCACCCTCGAGTTCTGTGCATAGAATTAGGGACGAGGCAATCGTTTCTTGAAATTGTATGAGTTATATCTCTAATCTTGGAGCATAATGGTGTTAAGTCAAATCGCTCGATACCTACTAATCATGTCTTGCAGTGAGATCTGGTATTATATCGCCTGGACTCTGAAGCCACTTCAATAGCTTCCTCATCAACAGTTGCTTATCCATTGGCTTAGGGATATAATCATCCATCCCCTTCTCCAAGCAACGCTCCATGTCGCCTTTCAGCGCATAAGCGGTCATGGCAATTATAGGTAGACCTATGCTGCTACGACGTATCCGAAGTGTTGCCTCGTACCCATTCATAACTGGCATACTGATATCCATGAGTATCAGGTCAAAGGCGTTGGCCGTCGCTGACAGTGACGAT